AGGGAGCGCCGTTTGACTTGTAAATCAGCTTTTCCCGTCGGATGAGGAAACAGGCAAGCCGAGCCTTTCCTGTGGCTCCTTTGAAATGCTCCCGGGTAGATTTGATGATAAAACAGAGGGCTTGCAGTTACATTTGAATTTCCAATAAACAAGGAATTTGCTGTTATTGTTGTTTAGTTGCTAAGTTGTATCTGTTCCTTTGTGACCTCGTGGACGGCAGCATGCCAGGCTCCCTGTTATTATTCATTATCTCCCGGAGTTTGCTCAAACTCTCGTCCATTGAGTCCGTTATGCTATCTAACCATCTCATCTTTCTCTAACCCTAAGCCTCCTCTCCTTTTGCCCTCTATCTTTCCAAGCATCAGGGTCTTTTGCAGCCAATCGGTTCTTCACATCAGGTGGCCGAAGTATTAGAGCTTCAGCTTCAGCATCAGTCCTTCCAATGACAATTCAGGGTTGATTTCCTTTCAGTTCAGTTCAGTCACTCAGTCATGTCCGACTCTTTGCGACCCCAAGGACTGCAACATGCCAGGCTTCCCTGTCGATCACCAACTCTGGGAGCATACTCAAACTCATTTCCATTGAGTCGGTGATGCCATCCAACCATCTCATCCTTCATCATCCCCTTCTCCTCCCACCTTCAATTCTTCCCAGCATCAGGGTCTTTTCAAATGAGTCAGTTCTTCACATCAAGTGGCCAAAGTATTGGAGTTTCAGCTTCAGCATCAGTCCTTCCAAAGAATATTCAGGACTGATTTCCTTGAGGATGGACTGATTTGATCTCCTTGCAGTCCAAGGGACTCTCAAGAGTCTTCTCCAATACCACAGTCCAAAAGCATCAATTCTTCGGGCCTCAGCTTTCTTTATGGTCCAACTCTCACATCCATACATGACTACTGGAAAAACCATAGCTTTGACTAGATGGACCTTTGTTGGCAAGGTAATGTCTTTGCTTTTTAATATGCTGTCTAGGTTGGTCATACCTTTTCTTCCAAGGAGCAATCATCTTTTAATTTCATGGCTGCAATCACCATCTGCAGTAATTTTGGAGTCCAAAAATAAAAAGTTTCTCACTGTTTCCATTGTTTCCCCATCTATTTGCCATGAAGTGATGGGAGTGGATGCCATGATCTTAATTTTCTGAATATTGAGTTTTAAACGAACTTTTTCACTCTTCTCTACTGACTGGTTTGATCTCCTTGCAGTCCAAAGAATTCTCAAGAGTCTTCTCTAGCACCGCAATTCAAAAACAAAACAATGAATAATTTATATATATCCCAATTTTGCACAGGACATAATGATACTAAAAATTTTGTCACTGTTTATCTGAAATTGAAATTAACCCGTCTCCTGACCCACCCTAACCTCTGGGGTTTATTCTAATGCTGTGGTTTCGGGTTCCATCCCCACCCAAATCAGCGGCACTGGCCTATGCCTGGTGTTGGCACCCCACAAAGGTTCAATTCAGTTCAGTCACTCAGCCGTGTACGACTCTTTGCGACCCCATGAATTGCAGCACGCCAGGCCTCTCTGTCCATCACAAACTCCCGGAGTTTACTCAAACACATGTCCATTGAGTCGGTGATGCCACAAAGGTTACAGCAATCATAATAACGATATAATGAATTGAAAAAAAATCTCCTCATACCTTAGACCACACCCCTCCCTGTTGAGAAGCCTCCTATGGCTCCCATCCAATCAGGAAAGACCCAATACATCTCCTTGCTTATAAGGTCTCGGCCACCTCTCTGTTCTCACTTCTCTCATCTCCCATCCTTAACTGGGAAGCCCTACCTTCCTCCCACCTATTTCTAAGATCCACCAGGCATACCCTGCCTCATGGCCTTTGCACTGGCTGTGGCCTCCATTGGATACGCTCTTTCCCCACCTCTGAGCTGAGGTCACATTTCCTGGCTTCACCTCATCTAGGAAGCCTTCCCTGAATCATGGTCAGGTTTATAGTTGCTCACAAAGGACACCCACATCTCCTTGGTAACCCTTTGCACTGCTTTTATTTGCATCTATCTCAGTAGCTTACCACTTACTGGCCCCATTGCCAACTAGACAGGGGCTCTGTAGGGGCAGGGGTCGGAGGGTGCCTCTCACACAGCACCTGGCACACAGAAGGGGCTCTGAAAACAGTCCTCAGATGAACAGACTTGAGGATAAAGCAAGGGTCTGCAGTTTTGTGAAGATGCTGCTTCCTATATGTCCCCTTTCAAGCTTTTCACATCATTTCTTAAAAAAATTTTTTTAAGAGTATTGCAGATTCTAATGCAGAGATAGCTCCCTCACGCCCTTTACCAGGCATCTCCAACAGCGATATTTTGCAAAACCATGCAGTACAACATTGGAACCAGGGTATTAGGGTTGCTGTTCCACCTGTGGGTCTGGAGCCCCCGTTTCATTTGTACTCGTGTGTGCCCTTTTCCTTCTCTGCAGTTCAGTCACATGTGCAGGTTTGTGTCTCCACCACATCCAGGGACAGAGTGGCTCCGTCACAAAGGTCCCACATGCTGTCTGCTTCCCATCATCTCCTACCCTGGCCACCCTGCATCTGCTCTCCATTCCATATTTTTGTTACCTTGAGGAGGTTACACAGATGGAATCATACCTCATGTAACCTTTGCAGGCTTCCTCCCTACACTCAGCATCATTCCCAGAAATCTGCCGTGGGTGTGTGTGTATCAACAGTGTGTTCATAACTTAGAACAGTTGAGCAGTTGTGGATGGACCAGCCCATGGTTTTTTCAACTACTCACCCACTGAAGGATGTCTGGTTCATTGACAGTTTGGGAGTATCACAAATAAAGCTGCTATGATCATGTGTGTGTGGTATGGACTGTAGCTTCACCTCATCTGTCCATGGCTCCTCTGTCCAATGGATTCTCCAGGCAAGAATACTGGAGTGGGTTGCCATGCCCTCCTCCAGGGGATCTTCCCAACCCAGGGATTGAACCTGTGACCCTTATGTCTCCTAAATTGGCAGATGGGTTCTTTATCACTAGTGCCACATGGGAAGCCATAGTTTTGTGTGAACAGAAGTTTCTATTTCTCTGAGATAGATGCCTAAGAGTCCCCTTGAACTGTTTGCTTATTTTTGGCTGCCCTGGGTCTTCGTTGCTGCTCATGGTCTTCCTCTAGTTGTGGTGAGTGGGGGCTACTGTCTATTGCAGTGCCCGGGCTTCTTATTGTGGAGGCTTCTCTTGTTGCAGAGCACAGGCTCTAGGGCATGTGGGCTTAGTAATAGTGGTGTACAGGCTTAGTTGCTCCTTGGCATGTGGAATCTTCCTGGACCAGGGATCGAACCCATGTCCCCTGCTTCAGCAGGCAGATTCATGTCCACTGCATCACCAGGGAACTCCTTGTTTGTTTTTTTTTATTCATTTTTCATAGAGAAATTCTGCCATTCCCTGTATACACACCATCTCTTTTCATCACTCCCACTGAGTGCTGAACCCTGGAGACACACTGGGGACCAATCCAGATACATACCCAGCAAGTACAGCACAAGGATGTCAGAACTGAGATGGGGCAGCCCTGGGCACAGGTGAGGGGCCTGACCCAGCCTGCTGGGATCCAGGAGGGCTTCCTGGAGGAGGAGGAAGCTGAGCTGAGACTTGATAGATGAGCAAGGGTTAAGGAGACCTGGACCAACAAGGGACCTGCCTGTGCAAAGGCCACAGGTAAGGGCCTGGACAACTTCAATGTCAGAATGGCCTCCCCTTCTCACATAACATCTCTGCACATTTGGGCTCTTTGGAGACCTAGGATGTTCCCTAATAATTTGCGGGGACAGAGCCCTCCTCGAGATGGGCAGTTGTCCTTCAGGGAGACTAAGCCTGAGGCCTGCAGGGACTGATCCTAGCCCTCCCCCCCACCCCACAGACAAATGCAGTTGAACCCACAATGAGGTGGCTCTGCCCTCACACCTTGAATCTGGTTGTGATCCTGATAGCTCCCAACAACTCCCTGCGGCAGGGTTGAGGTTGTGGGCTCCTCCTCTAATTGGAAGTCTCTGCCCAGGAGGAAGTCTGACTTTCCCCAGATTGCCCTGCTGGGAGGAAGTCCAGGCAGCCATGGAAGTGCACTGGCTACCAGCCTGAGAGCAAAGCCTTCTCTGGCCTTCCCAGTCCAGCCGCTGGGTTGGTGGCTCCACCCAGTACCACCCATGGATCACAAGAACTGCCTGGCTGGGTCCACTCACCCACAGAACCGTGAGCAATGATACACTGATGCTGGGGACTTCCCTGGTGGTCCAGTGGTTAAGACTCCCCCTTATGATGCAGGGGACATGGGTTTTATCCCTGGTCAGGGAACTAAGATACCGCATGTTTCAGAGCAACTGAGCTGTGTGCTGCAACTAAGACCCGTTGTAGCCAGTAAATATTTTTTTAATTTTTTAATTTATTATTATTATTATTTTAGTTCTACCACTTTATTGCTACCAATCCATCTCCCTCCACCCTCATGCACACATGCTCAGTCATGTAACCCCATGCACTGCAGCCTGCCAGGCTCCTCTGTCCATGGACTTTTCCAGGCAAGAATACTGGAGTGGGTTGCCATTTCCTTCTCCAAGCAAATAAATATATATATATTTTTAATGACACTAGTTTTGAAAAATACACTGATGTTGCTATATGCCTCTTTATTTGGGGGTGTGTTATGTAGCAATAATCCTGCTCCCTTGGATTGTTGTTCAGTCGTTAAGTCATGTCTCACTCTTTGTGACCCCATGGACTGCAGCATGCCAGGCTTCCCTGTACTTCACTGTCTCCCAGAGTTTGCTCAAATTCATGTTCATTGAGTCGGTGATGCTATCTAGCCATCTCATCCTCTGCCACCTTCTCCTTGTGCCTTCAATCTTTCCAGCATCACAGTCTTTTCCAGTATGTCGGCTCTTCACATTATATGGTCAAAGTATTGGAGTTTCAGCTTCAGCATCAGTCCTTCCAATAAATATTCAGGGTTAATTTCCTTTAGGATTCACTTGTTTGATGGCCTTGCTGTCCAAGGGGATTTCAAGTCTTCTCCAACACTGCAATTAGAAAGCATCAATTCTAAGGTACTCAGCCTCCTATAAAGATTGTTGCAACTCTCACATCCATACATGACTACTGCAAAAACCTGTTTTGACTATACAGACCTTTGTCTGCAAAGTGATGTCTCTGCTATTTATTCAATGACACCCATGATTTTCCAGCCAGGACTCTGAACACTCACTCACAAGGTGCCAAGAAGAATACCTTATTTCATCCATTATAAGATGGACATCACGTTCACTTTTTAGTATCTCTGAAAATGGCATTTGTACAGGCTTACAATTGTACAGTCATCCACAGGGCAGTGTGTGAAAAGTCCTATTGACGCTTCCTCCAAAGTTCCAGAAAATGTCAGCATCAAAGCATCTTCAATTCAGGAAACACAAATAATAATTACAGCATCAACAGTGGCAAACATACAGCAGATTTGTATCAAATGTTGCAAGAGGACAAGGCCTTTACTCTATTATGATTTGGGGTAAAAACAGTATAATAGCAGCTGCTATTTAAGCCCGCCTGTTTCAGAGGGGCCCATCTTGATCCCTTCAGAGAGGGCTCAGAGAGACACAGCGTGTCCCCTCAGAACGCACAGCCTGCGCAGCCCGGGACTACCGCTGCCTGACTTCGGGGGGCCTGGCGTGGCCCAGGCGTCGCAGCTGGGTATGGCCGGCGGTCGCGAGGTCCGAGGGTCCGGGCCGCCAGGGCCGCGGGAGCGGCCGGGGAGCGCAGGGGCAGACGCGGCGGAAGGCCTGGCGGAAGTGGGAGCCCAGGAAGGCGTAGAGCAATGGGTTCAGCGCCGAGTTGCAGTAGGACATGCAGTGTGCCCAGATCTTGAGCGCGTAGGCGGCGTAACTGCGCGGATGCCAGGCGCCGGCTGGGCCCAGCGCCTGCAGCAGCAGGAACAGCTGGATGGGGCCCCAGCAGGCAGCGAAGAGCAGGACCACGGCCGCCACCAGCCGGGAGACCTTGGCCCGCACGGCACCCGCCCGCTCCGCCAGCAGCTGCCCCTGGAGAGACGGGAGGAGAAAAAGGGAAGGCGAAGGGCCGGCAGCGACGACACCCCTTCTCCGGCGCTCCCCTTCTTGACCCTCTCGAATTACTCCCCAACCCGGGCCACCGCCCCACCCCCCTCCGTAGATGCGCCTCACTCCCCGCTACTGTACCTCCCCCCACCCTCAGCCAGGCCGCGTTCCGTCCCCCCTCCCGCCAGCCGCGCACCTGCAGGGTGCCGTCGGCGGTCGCTGGGCGCACGGCGGCCCGGCCCAAGTGACGTAGCATGGCCCCGTAGCAGGCACAGGTGGCGACCAGCGGCAGCAGATAGAGCGCCAGCAGGTTGTAGAGCGCGAAGGCTCGCTCGAGGGCGCGGCTGGGGAAGGCCTCGCTACAGTAGGTGCGCGGTCCGGACGACAGGCGATGTAGGGCGAACACCGGCGCCGACACGACAGCCGAGCCTGCATCAGGGCCCTGCTGAAGATCCTGCCCCGGGGGGACGAGGGGCGCAAGAGGGCCCGGGTCTCCCCGGTGCCTCCCGGGCAGTGGGCCACCGAGAGCCTGCTAGGCACGGGTCCCCTTGTGTCCCCGCCCTCAGGCGCCCTTGCAGGGAGCGCTAGTGCGCCCATTTCACAGATGCACGATCGAGGCAGTGGGAGGGGGTGAGCCCAGGGACGAAGACTTGTCTCCCCCAGCCCGTGCGACCCCCACGCTGAACTCACCCACCCAGATGCCGAGGCTGACTGCCAGCGCCAGGCGGGGCGTGCGGCGGTGCAGGGCGCGCAGCGGGAACACTGTCACGTACCAGCGGTCCACGCTCATGGCGGTCAGGGTGGCGCACGTGGCCTGCACCGAAACCTGGGAAGGCCGGGAGTCCGGCGCGTGGCCCCCTGCCCCGTCAGGGCCTTTCCCTGTCCGCGCCCTCCTTGCGGGTCCCCCACTGTCCAGCCACTCGAGTACAGGCAGGACCTGACCCGGGAAGGTCTCCAGGGCCCACAGTTGAAGGGGCAGGAGAAGGGGATGCCAGAAAGGAGCCCAGGGTGGTGGCGGAGGGAGGAGCCTTCGGGGGTAGCCTGAAACCCCTAAGACTGAGACCAGGAGAGGCAGAGCCATCCTAGTAGGATCCCAGTACCTGCCCTAGCCCTGGTGGGTAACCCAGTCCCAGTGCCCGCCCCGCCTCCGCACCGAGTCCCCGGCCCTCACCAGGCCGCCGGGAGACGGGCCCCGCCCACACCCAGACTCTGCCCCGCCCGCCTCCACAGCAGCCCCTGGCTCGCACCGGCCCGTAGGAGGTCCGACCCCGCCCACACCCAGACTCCGCCCCCGGCCCTCCCGCCCTCAGCCCGCGCACCTGCTGGATGTAGTTGAGAAACTTGCACATGAAGTCGCCCAGCACCCAGGCGGGCAGCGGGTAGAGCAGAGCGGTGAACGGCACGCAGCACAGCAGGAACGTTAAGTCTGTGACCGCTAGGTTGACTGCAGGCCGGGGACGCGAGGGTTCTGAATGTGGGGCGCATCGCCCTGGCCCTTCAGCACCCTGGCCCAGCCTCCTGGGTCTCGCCTTTGTCCGAATGACCAGCAGGGCGGCTCGGGAGGCACCCAGAGAGACCCCAGCATCCGTGGGCAAAGAAGTTGGGCGCTTCCTCTCACTTTTTAATATTTCAAACACCCCTCACCCAGCACCTGCTTTGTAGCCATTCAAGCAGTAATGGGCCGTGCTCACCCCTGTCGAGACTGCAAATAGGCCCTTGCCCTCTGAGCCTCAGTTTTCTCATCTGCAAATTGAGTGGTGCCAGCCAACAGAGAATGGAGAACACGGACTGAGTGAGTACTCACCCGGGTAGAGCACCCTCATCGCACAAACGTATAAACTGAGCCTCTGGGGCAGTGGTTGCCAACTGGGGGCCCGTGGGCCACGCAGTCTTTCCCCCACTCCTTTTATTCATCCCACACGGTGTTATAAGAACCACATTTCAATCGAACATCTTCCTTGAGTGGCAGGGGGCAAAGCTTCATGGGCCACACTCTCCAACCTCTCTTTTAACTACTCTAGTCAAGATGGAACGCTTCAACGCCACATTTGGCGACCTCCAGCCTAAGATACCAGGACAGTAGGGAAAAAGGACCAGGAGCCCTGCAGCAGAGAAATCCCCAACTGAGAGGACCCCGACTCACCGCTAGGGGCGTCCCCCCTCCCCGGCCACTACCCCCTCTCGTAGACCCCCGGAGTGGCCCTCCGGCACCGTGAAGCGCCGGGCGCTCACCGATGTAGAAGTTGGTCACCGTCCGCATCTGCTTGTGGCGGCAGATGACGAAGATGACCAGCGAGTTCCCTGTCAGGCCGAGCAGCATCAGCGCGCCGAAGAAGAGCGGCACCAGCCAGGCGTCCACGGGCCAAGGCGCAGGGATCGCACCGTTCGAAGTGTTGGCGCCACAGCCGGGGCAGACCGTTGTGTTGGCCGGCGCCCACCAGGACGCGTTAGGCCCAGACGCGGACAACGGCTGCATTGCCACCCTCTTCCTCCTGACCACCCTCCGGGATTGCACCCTGCGATCGCTGCCGTGACCTTCCCGATCGCCCTCTGGGGATGAGCTACAAGGTCTGGGTCACAGCTTTCCTGGACTCCTCAGCTGCAGCCACTGCGCGTTTATACCCCTCATCCCACCGTGCCCCGCCTTCCCGCCTCTCCTGCAGCCGCTGACCACTCCCTCCCCTGCCTGTGCGCCCTCTGTTCACCGGAGCAACACCCTGCTCCTGCATCCCGTCCTCCCCCTCCAAGGTAAGGATGAGCGCACAGGAGGAGGACTAGGGAAGGGAGTGTGGAGCAGAGCAGGGGGAGCGGTAGGGTTCCTAGAGGATGCTGTAGATCCGGGAAGGACCCATCCTTACCCCAGGAGACTCACCAATAAGAAAAGCAGAGACTAGGGGATGAGGCCTGTGAGAGGCCATGCCTCTGACCTTCCATGGCCCTCAGAGGCCCTGAGTATCATTGCTGCCAGGGTTTGTCCCAGGACACTGGGGAGCCATGGAAAGTTCAGGGCGAGGGAGGGTTGCCCAGAATCTGGTGGTCAGATGATGCCTGTTCTTTCACTAACTCAACCTTCCCAAGACTTTGATGCAAATCAGATCCCTAGGGATTGTCCACCTTCACCCTAAAGGGCAATCAACTGCCCGCTGTCTGCACTGGGGACACAGTCACCTGTGTGCTGCTGCTGGTGGGAACCAGGTGGAGGGCAGTTTATAGAGAACAATGTTGATCTCTAAATCCACACTCAGAAATGTATCCCATTTCTGGGGATGTAATAGCCTGTGAGGCAGGAAACAGGGCATGAAGGTGCAGAAGAAAAGATGATGTCCTCAGTGTAAAACGAAGATTAAAAGGCGGAAAAAAAACGAAGTATGCACAAAGGACATTCTTGGTGGTCTAGTGGTTAGGAATCTGCCTGCCAATTCAGGGGACACTGGTTTGATCCCTGGTCCATCTGGGAAGATTCCATATGCCAGGGGGCAACCAAGTCCATGTGCTACAAATACTGAAGCCCAATCTAGAGCCTGTGCTTTGCAACAAGAGAAGCCAGCTCAATGAGTAACCCCTGCTATCTGCAACTAGAGAAAGCCTGAGTGCAGCAACAAAGATCCAGCATAGTAAAAACATTAATTAATTAAAAAAATGTGCATGGGCTCCAAAGTGCATTAAATATCTCCAAAAGAAAGTACAATGAGCCTGGGATGAGGGGGAAGGGGGACATTTCTCTGTTCACCCTCTTCATACCTTCAGCATCATGACAATGGCCTAAAAATTCAGAAAAGGGAAAAACATCCTTTTGGGGTGGTATTGGAGGGGCTTTCCCAGTGCCTCAGTGGTAAAGAACCCACTTGCAATGCAGCAGGTGCAAATTTGATCCCTGGGTAGAGAAGATCCTGTGGAGGAGGGCATGGCAACCTACTCCAGTATTCTTGCCTGGGGAAGCCCATGGACAGAGAGACTGGCAGTCTCTCCTACAGACCCCTACAGTCTGAGGGGTCACAGAGAGTTGGACATAACTGAAGTGACTAAGCACGCAAGGGTGGTAATGAGGGCCAGGTCAGCATGAGGAGACCCTGGGATACTTGGAGAGGGGAGGAACTGTTCTGGGGAGGCTGCTCAGCTGCGTGGGCCTGGGAGAGCAGTGAGAAGGGGGCCGGGGCTCTGGGGGACAGCGGTGGCTCCTGGACAGGCCAAGGATCTGGGAGGGTGTTAGGAAGGTGATGACAGGGACTTCCCTGGTGGTCCAGTGGTTAAGGCTCTGCAGTTCCACAGCAGGGGATGTCGGTTTGATCCCTGGTTGAGGATCCCAAATGCTCCACTGTGCTGCCCTCCCCGACCTTTGCCAAAAAAAAAAAAAGGGTGAGGAGAGGAATGAGTCAAGGGGAGAAAATAAAAGGGTGAGGACAGAATGAATGAGGCTCAAGAATCAGGTCAAGACCCAGGTTGGCACATTTGTTGAGTGGCTAGTCATCATGGGCTAGAGTTGGAGACCAAATATTGCCCCTACATCTAGAGACCCTGCCCAAGCACTGTCCCCAGAGATCCCATTTCCCATCACCTTGATTCTTTCCCTTATTTCCACATTTATCTACATGAGGTCATACAATGTGTGCTTTCTTGGGTCTTGTAATAGTTCCTCCTCCTCTCTCTCTCTTTTTTCTCCTCTTGCTCTTTACTTGTTAAAGCAATGTGATAATTTGTCCTGTACAGCTTCCACCAGGCTGGATCTGGGTGGGTTGCATCCCTTGGTGTCCCATATCATGGTCTTCTGTACATGCGTGCTAAGTTGCTTCAGTTGTGTCTGATTCTTTTCGACCCTATGGACTGTAGCCCACCAGGCTCCTCTGTCCATGGGATTCTCTAGGCAAGAATGCTGGAGTGGGTTGCCATTTCCCTTTCCAAGAGATCTTCCCCACACAGGGATCAAACCTGGATCTCTTATGTCTAGCTGCATTGGCAGGGGTGTTCTTTACCACTAGCATCACCTGGGAAGGCCCATCATGGTCCTAGTTTCCCACTTTTCTTGTGGAATGAAGGATGGATTCTAGATTCTAGAGCAGGTCTAAGTTTCTGTTCTTAAACCTCCCTGGCTACCCATTGCCCTTGGGTCAAAAACCAGATCTGCCATTAAAGGACAACCTTTGGTCTGTCCCCTCTTCTCTATCTTATTCTGCCCACCACTGACCCCCCCCACCACCACCACCTGTCTCCCATTATCCTGCTCTGGCTACCTGGATGCCCCAGGACCTTTACACTGTTCCTTCTGCCTGCTGCACCCTTCTCACTTTTGCATATGCTAGTCCTCTTTCCAAAAGTCCTCTCTTCCTGATCCCACTCAGGGGAAGGGGTCTGTTTGATTACCACTGGGTCTGGAGACTTAGCCCCTATCCCAGTGACAGTGGGCATTTGTTAAATGAATAAATTCTAAAAGGCAAAGAAAGGTGCCGCTAGCTTTGTTCCTTTTTTTAATGTTTATTTTCTATTTATTTATTTGTCTGTGCCAGGTCTTAATTGAGGCAAGCAGACTCTAGTTCCCTGACCGGGGATCAAACCTGGACCCTTGCACTGGGCTGGAGGAGTCTCAGCCACAGGACCACCAGAGAAGTCCATGTTGTATTTTTCAGTTTTGTTCAGTTTCTCAGTCCTATCCGACTCTTTGCGAACCCATGGACTGCAACATGCTAGGCTTTCCCTGTCCATCACCAACTCCCAGAGCTTGTTCAAACTCATGTCCATCCAGTCGGTGATGCCATCCAACCATCTCTGTCGTCCCCTTCTCCTCCTGCCTTCAATCTTTGCCAGCATCAGGGTCTTTTCCATTGAGTCAGTTCTTCGCATCAGGTGGCCAAAGTATTGGAGCTTGAGCTTCAGCATCAGTCCTTTCAACGTTGTATGTTTATTTATTTCTTTTTTCAACGTTGTATCTTTAGAGTAGAGTAAACTGAGGCACTCAGCCGGGATCCGGAGGCTGCTCTTTGAAGGAGGTTCCCGGAGGGGGCTGGTGGAAGGAGAGCCCTGCTGCCGCTGGGGGGTGGGGTGGGGTGGTGTGTGGCACGGGGCACTAGGTCTGTCCAAGCATTTGAAAAGGACGTCCCCTTCCTGCCTCCCTCCGAGGCCTCAATTTGCCCACGGTCCCTCGGGGTCAGAGGGCCCGGCCCACAGCCCGGCAGCGGCCCCCTGCCTCGGTGTCCCCGTCCTTGCCCCGAGGCTGGGTGTCCCCGGCCCGCCGCCGGGGCCTGGCCGGGACGTGGCCACGGCCCCCGCCCGGCGTGTCCAGCCTCCAGGCTCCGCCTTGGCCCGCCTTCGGGCGCCCGTCACTTCCTGCCCGGCCCGGAGAAGGCCCTGCCGGGCGGCGGCGGCATCAGCGGCAGCGGCATCTAAGCTATGGTCGTTCTGGAGAACCCTGCGGCCGGTCCCGAGGAAGCAGCGGCGGCGGCGAGGGTCGCCCCGGGCGGGCGGAGGACGCTGTGAGCGCGGCGTGGTGGCGGGCGGGGCGCGCTTCCGGGGCTCCCATCCCTTACCCCTCGCGGGCGGCAGCCCCCGCCCCGCCCCTTTTCCTGAGGGTACCCCACTCGAGTGGAGCTGGGTGGCGAGGGGCTTTGTTGTTACAAGGTGTTCCTGGGGAAACCCCATCCCCGTCACGCCTGGGTACTTGCCGGAGCGCAGGGGGGCACCCCCGTGTCCGCGTTTGCGGAGCCCGGGGCTCTGGAGTCCCGGAGCCTCACGGGTCCCAGGCCCCGAATCGCTGGCTCCAGGGAGGCGCTGCCGCTGCGCGAGATGTACCCGTCACCGCGCTGGTGGTGATCTGGAGTTTACCCACTGGCAGCTGTTCGTGCCTCCAAGCTGGGGATTCACCCAGCACCGGTCCTGGGTACTCGTCGGGGTTGTCTGTCTCCAACTTCCAGGCGGACGCGCTCTTTGTTTTTCTCCGGGCGAACACCCAGAAGAAAGGGGGGCTTACACAGCCGGTTAACACGAGGCTGTGTGTCCTGGGACGTAGACTGAAAGCGGGTGGATGACCCCATATGGGTACCCACCCACCCCCGGGGAAGGGGTCGTAGGTTTCTTCCTAATCCGAGTGTTTATGCAGAAATTCCCGCGGTCCACCCGCTTGTGCTCTGTTTCTGCCCCTTCGTGGGCACGTCCAAGCGGCCTGGGCAGGTTAGTACCCGCTGCTGTGCCTCAGCTTCCCCATCTGTAAAATGGAACAACGGGCCCCCTCTCAGAGTGGCCGGGGTCGGTGACCCTGCGATTGGAGGCGCCCAGCAAAGAGGACCATCTGTTCTTTGATAATTATCTTAAATAGCTTACTGTTGTAGGTGTCTTAAAATAATTTTATCACTTTGGTATTTTATGATTGCTTTATTGTATTTTTTATTTGGTGTTATTACTTCCACCAGGGTATTTACCCAGAAGCTATACGGGTGTCTACAGATGTGGTTATTTACCCCCTTTTAAAGGGCCTTAACCACCCAAAATGGGTAATTTACCTGACAGTAGAGTCCCTCTGACCTGCCCGCAC